GATCCCAAATCATCTGAGTGGCTACTGGCTACTGGATATAAGTAGTGACTGGAGTAGGCACTCATCTGAAGGAGCCAATATCTTTCACGGTGCCGGAGATATCACAGAAAAACAAAAAGGCTAAACTGAATACCCCCCAACCTTGGCCCCAAAGGCGTCATTGGCTAACACAGGGATGTGGGTCGATTTGCAATCGCATTTCCTCCTAAGTCCTATTCCTCCAATTAATACAGAGTGTCCAAGAATTACCCAAGCATTTATTTTCTGGCTAAAAGTACAATTGCGCGCTCGATTCCTAGTGAAACATATAATAGCCGCGTTTACATAGGGCTAGTGGAATTCCGATAACGAGACATTTATTCCCCACTATTACTATTATATTATATACCTATATATCCGTAATTGGAGGATGTTCAGTAATTGAGGCGCTCGCTCATAAAATGCCGTGCGTTTCATTCACACTCCTCAAGCAAAAATATTTTTACTTTCCAATTTTCCACATTTTCTCAAGGCTTAGACCGTTACAGAGACCGTTTTAATTGACTTTGATGAAGTTGAACGCGAGAAATCACAACCAAATGCTACATTAGGTTGTAAAGAACTGAATTGCGTTTTCCCACACACGTGACGTTTTCTCACCTACGTCTGCAGGAGAGACCGGACCCACTATGCCCCCCCCCCCATCGAAAGGTTCTTCATGACTCCCGGGGGCCCCCGGGGAACCTGGGAGGCCCTATACACTGTGGGGGGCCCCTTCGAAAGCAGGTGGCCCCCTCCTGGGCGAAATCCTGGGTACGTGCCTGCTGCTGGTCCATCAGTTCACCTCCCTGTTCTCCGCGACGCATGCGATTGATAAAAGCTTCATCGACAATCACCGAGCTCTTCACAGATAACTTACCCGTCCCATCCTTCGCTGCACGCCTTCCCCGCTCCTGCACTCTCCCGCACAATTTCACAATAGCCTCAACAATTCAACGTGAACTACGCGAGTCACCGCGCCACAACGGACTGAAGCGCGCGCCGCGGTTTTCGAACGCAACGGCTATAATACTCATCACGCGAACTCACGCATCACGCAGGAAACTCACCCTGCCGCGCATGCGCGCATCTTCAAACCGGGGGTACCTCACGCACAACTGCACGTGAATTCGCGAGAACTCATGCATTGCGCAGGAAACTAGATTTGCCCAAGGCCCTAGATTTGCCCAAGCAAAACTCATTTCCGACTCAGTTCGAATTCACGAAACTAAGCACTCAGAACTCACGCATAACGAAGTCACCCTGGTGATGTGAGTTAGATCAGCCAATAAGTGAGCACCACTATCGTATTCACTGAGTTTCTTCATGAGTTATTACTGAGTAATGCCTGGCCTGAGTAAAAAAATTTTCAGTGCACAAAAAGCTTGCAAACGCGCGGCTAATGCGAGCCGACATACGCCGAATCGCGATTCCGGCCAAACATGGTCTCGGAAAATACGTGTAGGTCACATGCGCTTTTCCGCGGTGCTTTAGCTCTATTGGTTCCCGAGTTATGCATTGGCTTCTTGGAAATTGTCGACATTTGACCTGAAAATCGACGAAGTTTTGCCTTCAATGACCTCTAGTGACCTAACCTTTGATCTGACAAAAGTGACCAAAGTGATTTCGTCATTATTTTTGGCGCTCTTTCGAACACCGCCTTCTGCGTATCGCTACGTGACCCAGGAGGCGAGTTAGAAAGAGGGGGTGTTCAACCCCCCCCCCCAGCAGGGCGTGGAAATCCAGGACCCCCAGCGGGGCGCGGGTTAACGTGCGCACATAGCCGCGCACGGCCGGTCCCCTTATTTACTTCGGCTACGGCCTGCCACCAACCGCAACCATACCTGTCAGGAGGCCATGTCATTGTCAAGCGCCCGTCCCGGACTGTTCAGTCTTCCGTTCCGTCGTTTGACGTTTCCATCCTCAGGATACTGAAATCCTTCTCCTCCACGCCGCAACCCCCACTCCGGGCTGGACAGGCACCTTTATCTCATGCGGACTGCTAGTCCCTTGGAGCGGCGCCGCTGCTCCAGAGGGAGCGCACCCCGTAGCCGGGTGCCGAGTGCTTGGGGGGGGGGGGGGGGCTGGTCGGCCTGTCCTTTCGGACGGGCTCAGCCCCGGCGACTCTCTTGGGTGTCTGCCCAGACCAATGTCTCCCTCTAATTCCTATCATCCTTCCGGCTCTGAAATGGTCTTGTCAGACCGAAACGGCCTAACCCAACAAAACAAACAAACAAACCCGGACTGTTAGGTACCGAGAAGACCGGCCGGGAACGTGTGCTCTCGCCACGCGGAGTCCAACGATTTACCAACTGAGCTACGGAATAAATTGCACTTTTATGTGGTTTTCGATTGGTCCATGCATATTGCATAGCCTTGGTCCATACTCCATGCCTCAATATTTCAATGAGTTGACTTTTTAATACATAAAAACACCATTGTTATCAACTAATTCATTTTAGCAGACTCGTCCTTTTCTGAAATAAACATCACCTGCAGCATATTTACGTCTGGACAACGAGTTGCGTTGGAGAGGCCGGAAATAGTGGCGATTTCTGGACCGCAAGAATGGACCGTCATTGGAATGATTCTTTTTCAAACCGTGCACTGTTTTTAGCCGGAATTTAATAGTTACTACAAAATATTTTTGTCATTACATTTGGCTAAGAATGAATGCCATCAGGGAAGGTTTTACTGCCGCTGCATTTTGTCCAGAAACATATAGTGCTGTTATATTGCAGTTTTTGCGCTTTTGTTACAAAATATGAAGCGAACATGCATCAGGCTCTCGTCCATCCACTAAGAAGTTATTAAATATTTTGTTTTGTGTATTCCAAGAGGAGAGGAAACTATTTTATTTGTGCCTTCATTGAGAATTGAAGATCGATCATTAAATTTTCAAGGCAGTTAATCAATCAAACCAAGCATTTAGTCATTCTCGTATAGCAGTGGCTATAAGAAGAAAAGGTTGATAAATACTGAAGTTCAGTCATCTTACTTCAACTTGGCAGCAAGATCCCAGAGGATAAAGGATATAAAAAGTATACCTATCCTGTAAATCAAAGCATTTTGGTGCCTGCAAAGGCTTGCGTTATTTGTGGTGTGCTCGCGGAGTGAGGCTTTGGGCGTTTTTGTTGTGTTTATGTGGAGATTGAATATAACTGTGACCCTGTGTTTGTTTGTGTATTTACTACAGTCAAACATCACATTCACATAAAATACTCACCTAGCTCATAGGTGTACCCTGCAGAATTTGTACTTGTTGATGTCTGGAGCATGAACAAAGCACTAAAGTATCTCAATTATCATTTCCCACATTTTCTGAGCATCTAACATGGCAATACAGCAGTGCAGAGCAGCTTCAGAGAAGAAACACTTTCAATGCACAGACTGACACCAGCCACCCAATGAGCCAGTTCCTCATTTGGCTGTTTCCATGGATGCGGCTTGGCAAAGGTGAGCTAACTTGGCAACGGCTTGACGCGAGCTGTTTTTAAGTTGTTAGCAGGTAAGATTGAGTCATGGTGAGTATCTATCATATAACTGGGTGCTTCTGCTATGAGTAGATTGCAAATATGTGTGATGATTGAGGTTAGGTTAGGTTAGTCAGGGCCCTGTTTCACCAGTGATAGCAGCACGCTGCTTATACACGTGTCAAATTGGGTTTCCATGGAAACATCAACAGGCCCATTGCTCCAACACTACCACAAGTGTGACGTCAGTTCGTGCAATTGGATAGCAGCGTGGTAGCAGCATCCCGTGAAACACCGCCCTGGTCACATTTTTTATGGACACCTGGCAAATTAACTAAAAACTAGCATAACCTAATCTAACCTGACCAAACTAAACCTACACAACTACTAACTATAGGCACTAAGCACCTAAGTTCTTGTGCCTACATCTCATACCAACTCAAAATAAAGTTCCTTGCTGGAAGATAACCCTCCAGTACATTTTATAACATCCCTGTGAAGAAGACTAATACTTCTAAATCCTGAGTCACACTTCTGGCCATCCACAGAAAGAAGCGCTGAGAGCTTTGCTATTGTATATTGGACCAAAGATCATTGTCACGAATGACTATTAACACGTATTATATGATCATATCGTTGCATGGCTTGTCACATTCACAATTTTACTGAAATCCTTTTTCAAGAAATGCAAAGTTTCATTTGCCAGACACTTGAGTAATGCACATTACCATCTGCATAGCAAAGTAAAGCTGCCTGAGTTCGCTCATTCTAGATTTTTTCACTTCATAGTCAGCGCTTCATAGTTATAATCTTGCTGTTATAAGTTATAATTAATTATTCATCCCAATACATCAATAGACAATATGCAATCATCATCAGCAAACATTTTCTGGCTTGATACTGCTCGGCGTACTCTTCAGTATTGATCTCCTGCAATAATATGGCTTGTTTTTAGCCAATAAGCTCTTTTAATTTTACTTTTATTGCTGATAAGTGAGCCAGATCAACCTGCTTTTATCAACCAACATTTCATAACTTCAACTTGATCTTGCTCAGGACGATCAGGACCTCTCTTAGCCTCCTCCTGGATACTTGGGATTGTTTTCAGTCAACATGCTTCTTTAATATGCTATAAGTCAATCACAAGAGATTTAAGACATCCAACAAAACGTACACGAGTACACGAGTACGAAAACCTCCAGATGAACTCGAAAAAGGCCTTGGAACAGAGCCAAGTGGTGCTCCGTTTGTTTGTTTACAATAATAGTAGTACTGATGTATTGTTTTAGGACTCTAACGTTCGGCTTATAAAAATTGAAACATTTTTACAAAATCTGTAAGGCAAGTAATATTTCTCTGAAAGAACTAAAATATTCAAAAGCCAAACACTATGAAATACAGGAATCGGAGCGAAAAAGTAACCCAAAAAACCAGCCTAATCACCGACTCCTAAAACTGCGACAAAATCAGCACTTTTCCCCGCAACTCGTTGTCCAGACGTAAATATGCTCACCTGCACAGGGTGAGCACAATCTGGCGCATCGATTTGAGCATTTCCATATTGATATTCAAGTTTGTTCACGTATTTTCAAACCGTTTCGTTGTCTTGGTTGCGTTTATTAAAATTTTAAAGCATTTTCAGCAAGTTTTGTACATTGATAACTTGATTGCTCCCATATATATTGATGTGGCTCGCTCTAGCTAGTTTGTGAATTCTGCAAGTTCAAGTTCGAGGTCAAGGGACTTGATCTTGATTGCTGATTGTCGCCTATTTTTGTAAACGGTAGGTGACTTTGAGTTGGAATTAGAGAAGCTAGATAGGTAATGAATTGAATCACACATTGATTTAAAGTTAGTTAGTGTGGAAACTGAACTAGTGCCAGACGAGACTGTAGAGTGTAGCAATGCCATTTTGTTTTACGAGGTGCGCTTGCGCTGGCACCATTGCATTACATCAGTTCAAGTCAAAATGTCACTTTTTCAAAAGTCAAAATTTGCACTTGCACCAGCTCACACCAACCTGACCCATGACTGGAAATTCAACTTGACTGGAAATTCACACCGGTCCGCAATATACATGACATAGACTTTAAGCACCAAATTAAGAAGTGTAATTTTGATGTATGACCCTCAACGAAAGGGAATTATGCACTGGACATTGTTTGATTAGAGAATGGTGTGCCAGCTTGAGCTTAGTACATCAGTACATTACCATTTTAGGTGCACAACACACACTGGCTGAGTGCCTCCATGCTCTAAGTTCATCAAGTCCACATCAAAGCTTAGGTGTTCATTTATAAATTATGAGTAAAGATGAAAATATTTTTGCAAGAGGCTTTCATTATTGCACTATTATCAGCTTTGGGGATTTATTTGTCTGCAAATATTTGAAGAAATGGGTACCTACCATTTTGGCTGGTAGGTTTCACTGCAGTTGTTTGGTGAAGTGCCTGCCTACTTCAGTCTTCCTGCCTCTATGACTTATTTGTCAAATAAGAATCACTGTTTTGATGTATGTATGTGGTGCTCTGTTGATTTGTATGTAATATGTATGCTCTATATTTGACATATGATTGTAAGCTATTGTGTGGCAAGAAATTTTGCCTCAATCACTGCACAGCTTGAGCTGCCAAGGTCAGTGTAAATACAAAGTTATATGGGAAAGTCAATTGTTAATGGCATGGTGGTTTCAAAGTTTTGCATTAGAAGGGGCAGTAAAATGGAATACCTAAGATTTTTCCCTTACCAAGGTATCAGAAACCTATCCAAGATTCAGAGGCTGAAATTATTTTGATAATGTCCTATGGTGAAAGCTTAGCCTTTTTTCATATTTATAACAAAATAAATTGAATCCACAGTCCACACTCTAATTTATAAATTATTTTCATCAACTTTTTAGCTCATTTAAAATATATTTTTCATAAAAAGTGATCTTGCACCAAAAATGCAAAAAGTGGCAATGCTTACCTACTGAGGTAGAAGCTTGAATAAATGAGAGTAAAGTGGTTCATGCTTCAAATATCATGTGCTTTCTCTTCACTGTGGTCTTGGGCTACAGGTGAGGACCCCATACACCAACCAAAGGATGAGTGCATACTAATGCATGATTTAGGGAGGAAATCTATTTTATCAATCATGCTTCTACAAAGATGAAATGATGGAACCTAAGCAATGGCATTAAATGGATGGTGCAATAGCAAGGCAAAACTGGCTTATGTTTAGCATCCTTTTGACATGATCAAGTGCAAATCGTTTTATACTTGACCATAGACCTCTGTATAGTGTATAGGTAACTACATATGTTACCCATGTTTTATCAATTTGGCTGAGAGTTGGATGTTTTGCACTTGCTTTTAATACTAAATTCTGATAAAAATAGCACATTCGAATTGGCACAGAAAATAGGCATTAGGCACTTGATCAGCACAACTGCGTTGCAGTGTAGTGCGGCAGCGCCTGCATCTTTCCCATGATATTTTCGTTCTTTTTTGCTCTCATGCTTCCTAGCTCGCTTTGGCGTCATTTTTCATCAGGACGTCACCGGTTCTCCTCTATATGGCAGTTCTCATCTGGTGTTTCTCCGCCTCTTATTGGTCGACCTTTCACCAATGGGAAGGTTAGAAACGCTGGCAGTTGATGACAAACGATGACCAAACAGCGCTCGAGTCGTGATTATGCTCCATTGGTGGGGGCTGGCGGCAGGCGCGGCGCGCAAGTGGCGCCTCTCCAATCGATGAGCGGGCGCCAGGTGGAGCCACCTACGTGTGGACACCGAAACGTGTGGACTGTGGAAGCGTGCCCAACTTTCATCCATGCAGACTTGTCTAATACATATAAAGAGGAGTCTGTGATCCATGTTATCCACGGATTGGTGCTTAATGCATTGCATCTGTAACCATTAATTTGCTTGCGATGTTCAACAATCGATTGTTACGCAATGAAGGACTTCGATCGTTCACCATCACCAAAGATATATTTTGCATAGAAAGCTGTTGATTGTATGCGCTGTGGCGTCACTATGCAGCAGATTGTCTGAAACATTTCGTGAAACATCGCCGTCCCAGAGTCTGTCGCTCGATTGGCTCGTCCTAGGCATTCCATTAGCTCCCTCCCCACCTGTCCCTCCGTGATTGCTCCCAGTTGGCGCCGTTCGTTCACTCTGGGCCTGATGTTGCAGGCAGTCGCGGCCCGGCCGCTCTCCCCACCCCGACAGTATGGTGTCGGCCAGCGAGGCGAAGGAGGCGCGCGCCAAGGTAGAGCAGTTCAAAAAGTCTGTCACCGACGAGGGCGAGCGCCTGGTGAAGGAGGTGTTCCCGCAGCGCATCCTGGAGCTGAACGACCTGCTGGCCAAGCCGCCGTTCACGGCCACCGACCTGACGCAGTTTCACAGCGCGCTCAACATTCCCGTGCCGGAGCCGCGCGACACAGCCGAGCAGCCGGCCAAGCGGCGTAAGCTGAGCGGCGACAATGGTGTGGCGGCTGCTGTGGATGGCACCAAGGTGATGGCTCTCCCCAGCGGACCCGTGCCCTGCAACAAACTCATCAGCGAAATCATCGAGACGCTCAAACCGGTACGTTGGCCGCGTGTGCGGTGGTTGGTGTGGTGATGAACGAGGTAGGCAGCAGTGAGTGAGCGTTTTGATTATTCATCATCGGTAACCTGACCTCATTCATTTGTTTGTGTTTGGCAGGACTTTGATATTCAAGTAATATAGGTAAATCGCAATTTTGATCTCATTTGTTTCCAGTGCATTTCCTAGGGTCTTTGAGCAATGAGGTCATTTCGTTGCATTTTTGTTGTTGTAAAAGTATTGTTGTTATGAAGTTAGTCCACCTTATTTCCACTTAATTAATTCGTACTTCATTTTTTCCCTTAAGCTCAGTCATTACGTACGCTGTGGTCGTTTACTGTGAATATGAACGTTGTTGAAACGCTGCTCCTTCCACAACTAATATATGCGACATGCGTGTTTTTGTTCACAGATTATCCGGCAAATTATGGAGGAGACAAATCTGCTCAAAATGTGGGTCACATACATGATTCCGAAGATCGAGGACGGCAACAACTTTGGCGTCTCGATCCAGGAGGACACCCTGGGCGAGGTGTCGTCGGCCGAGTCCGAGGCGGCCACCTTCTTCCAGGAGATGTCGCGCTACTATAGCTTCCGGGCCAAGTTGATATCCAAGGTGGCCAAGTACCCGCACCTGGACGACTACCGGCGGTCCGTGCAGGAGATGGACGAAAAGGAGTTCATCTCTCTGCGACTGACGCTCGTCGAAATCCGCAACCGCTACTCGACGCTACACGACGTCATCAGCAAGAACCTGGAGAAGATCAAGAAGCCGCGTTCGGTGAACTCGCATGACACGATGTACTGAGGCGGCGCGGCGGCGAACACGGTGAAAATTGTCAGGTTGTGGTCGTAGCGGGTGGGTGAGGCACGGCGCGGCGCGTTCTGTGAATGGGCGGCCGGGTGTCCGCGCCCGGTCGGGTCAGTGTGCGCCTGTCCGTACCGCGGGCCTGTGATGTCGCTGCAGTCGGGGTGATGTGCGCTTATCTGTTGGTGCCACCGCGTGGCCGTCGCAGTCTGTTCCATGTCTTTTGTCATCAGTCCGCACTCAGTCACTACTCTTTTCGTGTTAACTCTGTGAGAAGCCAGGAGGAAAATCAGCTCGTGGGTGGAGCCAAATATAAATTTGTAGACAATCGTGTGCTGTTGATGGGTGTGCTGTGGGATTACGTCAAATTCAAAATAACTTTTGCGTCATTCTGAAGCTGCTCCGGCTTCCCATCATCGGGAGGTCTCGCGAACATGTCGAAATGATGGCACAAATAACGATATTTTCATTCGACCTGTAACTTTATGACCACATAGGCAGTCCGCTGCGTGCTGCTGCGTTTTCTAAGTTTGCTACGAAAATACTCTGCCGTTTCTACCTAGCTAGGTATTTTGGTACAGGATTGGGTCAGGAAGTTGGCCGGCGAGGTCAAGATGTAGGATCATTCTATTTGGAAAACTTGCTGAAGTTTCATCTTCCTGCAAGAAATATGGCATTGAGGTCGCAAAATTGCGACATTCTTGGACCTTGTAGAGTTTCACGCATGACGTCATATGCCAGTGGCCCGACCTGGCATTAAAATGTGGTTGAATTTAAAAATCATCAATTGAAGGTCATGTATGTATGGTTTCTTCATCTTTCAATCGGTTACACGTTTCAAGGAGTCGCGAGAAGATGCTGTCTGGTCTGGAGGTGTCACCTCGCCTGGGAAGTCCGTCGACCGGCATTGACGTTCGGCAGAAATAGTCCATATCGAATCAGTTACATACTTACCTACCTTCATGAGACTGTGCCCGACGAAAAATTGAAGAAGCTCTGAAATGACTTGGGGCGGGGTGGGGGCGGAAAGATGCTAGTATCGTGAGCCATACAGGTTTGGGACGTTCTGTGGATGTTCTGGGACGTTTTGTGGACGTTCTGTTTGGGACGTCCACAATGAAAGTGAAACGTTAGAGTACATAATTGTTGCACTGACGATGAACGATTCCTGAAGATTGCCTCCGAAAATATTTTAATTCTAACGCTAGTACTTAAAAAAATAACCGTTACGCTTTCATATCCCATCACGGAAGTTTGTCCATTGGCCAGAAATGGTGCTATGATAGTTCTAATAAAACGATTTTAATGGCCTCTCTCCTGAGCAGTCAGATTAGGCGGTATCACGGCAACGTAGCAGAAAACACCGTCTTTTCAACACAGGCTGACAGCGCATTCACATCTGTCCACTCGCTTGGCCATCTAAGAAACGCGATGTTTCTAGCTGTTACCACCAAAACCCTCCCCCCGCGTCGCACTTTCTGCCAATTCGATAAATGATTTCGGCCGCGCTGTGACAGTGCCTCCGGCGGTGAAACAGGTTGTTTGTCGCGACAGATGTCGTGTCGCCGATCGGACGTTTCGCGCGCGACGCCAGATCGCCGCGCGTGTCATCCTCGGGACGTGACGAAGCCGACACGCCCAGTCACATCACGGTGTCGGTTTCACCCGTCACCCGCTCAGTGAGGCGTCACCTCGGCACGTCACCCTCGGCTCCTCTCCCGATAGCTTGTTATCGGCTCATGAGATCATCGACTGGCGATGATGGAACCGGCGCGTACCAGCATCCTTCCTGAGAAGGAAGAGCTCCCTTCGCTTCCTGTGTTCGTTGGTATCGTCTCCGGCAATAACTGGCGGTATCATGAGCCTTCCGTTTGGGATGTCCCGTTGTGATTTAAGTGAAACGTACTTAGAACACAATTGTTGTCTTTAATGATGGACGATTCCTTAAGGATCGGATCTAGGAATCTCAAATTTAGCCGTTTCGGCGCGTCTTTTTATTTGGTCGCTTATTTAGCTTCGTTTCGGCTTCCAAAATAACCGTTGGCATGGGTGTAATTTTCATAAAATGATTGTGGGTGCCCAGCTGTAGGGGTTCCAGGCCGCTTAGAGGCGCCAGAAGGTTACGAGGGCGCCGTGAGACCATGACAAGGGCGCCATTCTCCCAGAAAGGCGCCAGGTGATTAAAAATGCTGTATGATCCAGGGGCGCAGAGAGGTCAGAAGGACGCCGCACAGTCAGACGTCAGTAATGCTAAGTTGGTGGGGACGTGGGGGCGCCAGACGGTTACAAGGGCGCCTTGAGACCATGAAAAAGGTGCCATTCTCGTAGAAGGGCGCCGAGTGATTGAAAACGCTATATGGTACATGGGCGTTGAGAGGCCAGAAGAGCACCGAACAGTCGACGGATGAACGGTAGACAGAGACATAAGGTCGCGAGACTTTCAGGAGTACGCCGTTAGACCGTGAGAAGTGCTGTCAAAAGGGCGTCATTCTCCCAGAAGGGCGCTGAGTGATTAAAAACGTCATATTATCCATAGATAAGATCTCTATATTATCCACTATCCATGGGAACGCGAGACGGTCAGGAGGACACCATTAGAGCATGCGATGGGCGACGTGCTCTCGAAAGGGCGCTTGTAAAAGAAGACTTGTGGGTGCATTTTCATCATTGTGGGGGCATATTTCAGGATTGTGGGTGCATCTGTCCCCACAAAGAGATATAAAATTACACCCCTGACCGTTGGGCTTTCAGGTCCCTTTGCGACCGTCCGTCCCCAAAAGTCAAAAAAGTATTGCAAAAAAAAAACGCAAAAGTCGTATATTTTCGTAGTTGTTGATCCCTGCAGGCAAATCCGTTTACTTCAAGTCAAATCTGAGCGAATTTCTCAGAAAGAATGGTAATAGGGCTATCAAATGCACTTTTCTGAGACGCCTTTATTGGTTTCCGAGTTATGCACCGGTTTGTTGAGCATTGTCGACATTAATTCGACCTGAAAATCGCGAAATTCGGTTTCCGATGACCTCTGGTGACCTGAGCTTTGACGTGACAAAAAAAAAATGCTAGCTAATGCGAGCCGACATACGCCAAATCGCGATTTCGGCCAAACATGGTCTCGAAAAGTAGGTCACATGTCAAAGGTCATTTGGGTCAAGGTCATAAAATTTTCAGGGTAGGTGTGAAATTTAATAACACGAGGGTATTGAAAGCTTCGTCGTTATCGGCCGCTTTTTACGCGAGTTATTCGCGAAAAAACTAGGGGGCTCCGTTCGCCCCTCTCCCCCTACCTATACGGGCGAGGAATAAGACATGCAATGTTTACTCCGACTACGAAGTCGGAGTCGGTGAGACTTTGGCGACTCCAACACCGATTTCGGGTACAACTGTCGACTCCGACCGACTCCGACTTCGACTCGGCAGCCCCAAGGCCCTATATACCGGCAGCCCTGCTCTCAAGTATCGTAAAATGGATGTCTGATTAGGTACCTACCTACTAGTATGGAAAATTGCACCCGTGAGATCGCATTCATGAAAGGTCATGGAAAGGTTTCCCGTGCATTGTTCGACGGCAGCATGTTTGATTGATTAGTCTTCAAAACGCCTCGCGTCTGTTCACCATCTCAACAACACAGATCGACTGATGTGCGACATGACCCTCTCCGGCCAGGTAATACACTTGACCTCAGACCAAAATTTCAAGTTTAGTTCTTGACATCATTTTTTTAACACGTTCGATGGTGCCATCAGTTGTCACAAATCATCCACCGATCCTAACAGGAGAACTACACGTCTTTTTTAATAGCTAGATAAGGGCTATTTTCCGTTATCGATATCTGGTTATCGCGCCCTTGCCACCGCTTTCAGTTTCGTCTGCAGTTTTCAAAGTCCCTTCTTTAGATTTTGACCTCTCCTGCCGGCAAAGCATGCGAAAAAAGCTATGCTGAGATGAGATGAGATGAGAGATGATTTATTTGAGCATCCATATTTACACTTGTCAAAACATTACGATTGGCGTAGAAGCGCTATGGCGCTTAAAACGAGACGCCGCTCGAAACACGTAGAAAGCAGACAATAACACTTCTAATCGAACACTACTAATCACTACTGATCTTAATCAAAATGTCAATATTAACATAGCGAAGTCGACCCTGCCTTGGCCGAAGCGCCTGTCCCCGCCCCTACTCGCGCCATTGCTCTGTATTCCGAAATGGAAGTGCTGCTCCTAGTTCTAGCAGGCAAATCTCCGCGTTTTGAGTATATAGCTCTGGACGGCCATGGCGGTGTCATGGCGGGTAGCCTTCATAACTCGCGAAGGCCCATTTAGCAGTGTTTCTATTTTCTTTTTCCGAGGAATGTTTTGAAAGTTCTCACTGAGAATTTCAGTTAACCTTTCGAACAATTCTTCTCGTTCTGTGCGAAAGAGTGGACAGATTAGGAGGAAATGCTCGCTGTTTTCTGTAGCAGCACCACAACTGCACTTGGCTGAATCACTTTTCCCTAATTTGAATCTGTGGTCTTTAAGATCTGATGAATTAAGCCTGAGTCGGGTGTGAAGCCGGTTTCCAATTTTGGAACCTGTGCTTAGGTAGGAGCTAGGTGACATGTTTATACCGGCATATGCATACAGCCTCTTTTTGAAGAATTTTTGGCTGTGTTCGGCTCGTAAGTCGTTGGGTAGTTCGTTCCAGATTCTTGTTGTTGTTGGGATGATAGATCTCGCGTAGGAAGCTGAGCGGACTGCTGGGATGGTGCGTTGAGTGGACTGTGTGCATCGCAGATTTCTCTCTATCTCCAGGTTTCTCGTTTTGGGTATGATGTCTTTTATAAAGTCCGGAACACGATCATCTAATGCTATCTTGTGATAGAGTTGCACTTTGTGGGCGCGACGTCTGTCTACTAGTGAGGTCCAGCCCAGCTCTTTCCGGAGGCCCGCTGTAGACGTCCTTCGAGGTGTGTCAGTGATAAGGCGTGCCGCCCTGTTCTGTGCTTTCTCTAGTCGGGACTTGTCAAATGCTGTCAGATGGCAATCAAATATTGAGTCGCAGTAGTCGAGATGGGGCTGGACATACATTTGATAGATTTGAAGTAAGATTTGTCGTGGAAGTAGAGATGCTATTGGGAAGAGAGGACTCATCGTGCGGTAAAATTTTGATAGGATGTTGTTGACGTGAGACTTGAATCTCAGATCAGTTGAGATTGTTACTCCAAGATGTTTGTGGGAATCGCGAATGGGAATTGGTGAACCGCCAAATTCCAGGCATGGAATGTGTGTTTTTTTGTTACTAAGCGTTTGTTGGACTGTTTTTGTAGCATTAAATGTTATTATCCAGTCGTCTCCATAGCGTTTGATGCGATTTAAGTCGATTTGCAGTGATTTTTCAACTTCATGAAAATTATTAACATTGTGACTGGCATGTAAGGAGCTGTCATCGCAAAAAATAGCATTTCATTGTTGGTAACGCTACTGAGCCCATTTAGATACATTATGGCCAGCAGTGGGCCTAGGATGGATCCCTGTGGCACTCCTGCGGATAACTCACGCTGGGTGGACGTAGTTTGGCCTAGCTGGACTACTTGTCTTCTGTCACTTAGATAAGAGTTTAGCCAATCAAGTTGTGCACCTCTTATAGGTACCAAATTCTTTATCACATTTTGCTAGCAGCCCCTCATGCCAAATCTTTTCGAAATATCTTGATATATCCAGGTAAATGATTGTGTAATCCTCACCCGAGTCTATGGCTCTATATAACCTGTGAGTTAGATAAGCAAGTTGGAGCTCTGTGTTGTGACCAGGGCGATAGCCACTTTGTTTTTGTGTTAAGAGCGAATGACTGTGAATGTGCTCATATATCTGAGTGAACATAAGTTTTTCGAATATTTTCTATAGACACGGCAGTAAGCTTATTGGTCGATATGATGCAGCCTCAGATGGGGAGCCCTTCCCTTTAAAAATTGGTTTAACTGTGGCTTTCTTCCACTGAGTTGGGTACCTGCCTTTTTGGACTGATTTGTTTAAAATTCTGGATAGAGGCTCAGCAATGTAAGCCGCTGACATTTTGATTAGTTTCGCCGGTACGCCGTCGGAGCCGGTGGCTTTAGACGAATCCAGCCCATTGATGGTCTTCAAAACATCTCGAGGTGTAATGGGAGAAAACTGGAAGGTGTGCTGAGTGCTGTTATATGAAGATTTGTATTCGCGTACGAGCTGTAAGTGTTTCTCTGTAATGTTTATTTCTGTCTGGGAGCAAAAGTACGAATTGAGGGCCTCGGCCTTGCGGTGGTCGTCACTTACAAGATCATTTTCGACAATCAGAGGAGCCATAATGGAGTTTTGCTTGAACCCCGTAACGCTTTTCAGGATTTTGTGGTATTTGTAAGGGGTTTTCTTGCTAGTGACAAGTAGATGTACTTTGTGTTGAATGGTTTCATTTTTGAGTTTTCTATTAAGGCTGGTTACAAGGTTGCGCTGAGATCGCCAGATCGACCAATCTCTTTCTGAGTTGTGACGTTGAGCAAGCTTGAATAACCGGTCTCGTTTACGCATTTCGCGCCTCAGCTCTGCTGTTAGCCACGGTTTGTGATTAAATTATGCTATGCGAAACAATTATGGAAGATCACTGTGTCTCATCCACTCCTATTAAACTGCACCAAGCACAGCATGCTGCTTGTACGTGCGTGTGGGCCAGCCATTAGTTCGTGACGTCAGCAGAACTGTAGACACTGGGTGCGCGGTGATAAAAGTGTCAGCCGGTCCGGCGGGAGCTTCAGTCGACGAGCGCTAGTGACGGTGATGGGAGCCATGGGGAGACAGAACTCACATCATCATCTGCTGACGCTACTGTTGCCCGTGCTGGTCGCTGCCACCTCTGTGGACCCCGGTGAGTGTTCGGGCAGGGGCTCAGCATTAATCTCTCGCAGACAAACGCAATTTTCCGTCCTTCGACGGCACAAGGGGGTTACGACCCCCCCCCCCCCCCTCGCGCTTGGCCCCTGAATCCTGATCGAGCTAGAGCTTCGTGGAAAAAACGAGCGTGATGCCCGTCACGAGAGGAAGCCGATGCTATCCCATTTTCATGTCCTAGGTCATCGGTTGACCTTCCAGGTCAGGTCAATGACCCAAAAGTTGAAATCGGGACCTGCTAGAAAGTCGTAAAGTGTGTCTGCTATGGCGTTTCGTTTTCGAGGTGCTGATCACGAATAGCGTCATGCTAGTTTTGATCACAGATGATGTCTTTAAGCATTTAGACCAGGTCGGGTCAGGTCAGGTCAACCAGTAGGGATCGTGACGGGTATTCGTAGTACGTACCTATCAACCGCCTCTGACAGCTTCGTAACATGTTACGAAGGCACCAAAACTACTTGGTAAATGTTCAAATGGTTGCTAAATTCGAATTCAACTCAAAAAACTAGCCTCGAAACATGTAAATTTCTTAAAAGTGAGCCAAGGTCACCAAAGGTCAGTGCCCTGACCTTTTTTTGTAAATCTAGTCCGAACCTTTTGATGGGAAGGAATAACGATTCACAAGGACAGAGCCACCGCTAAGCAAAGCTTGTTGCGATGACCCTGCCCTCTACCCTCCGATCGCGCAATTCCGATTATATTGCCGAATTTAGAGTCCAAAGTTTAACGTGCGCACAAAGCTGCGCACGGCCGGCCCCCTCACTGACTTCGCCTGGCTACGGCCTGCCACCAACCGCAACCATACCCGTCAGGAGGCCCATAAATGCCGAGCGCCCGTCGCGCTTCGAACCCGGACTGTCATAACCGGGAACGCGTGCTCTCACCACGCGGAGTCCAACGCTCTAACCAACTGAGCTACGGGACCTGACCTTCAGGTGACCTTGATATCCACCCTATTGCATGGGAGCAGCATCAAATCACATGTTTGAACGCTTGAAACCACGAAAAGACTGCAAACGCGTGGCTAATGCGAGCCGACATACGCCGAATCGTGATTCCGGCCAAACATGGTCTCGAAAAATAGGCCCCAGATGAAAGGTCATTGGGTTCAGGGTCATATAATTTTCAGGGTAGGCGTAAAATTGATTAACGCGAAGGTACTGAAAGTTTCGTCGCGATCGGCCGTTTTTTATGCGAGTTATTCGCGAAAAACCCGAGGGGGTCCGTTCGACCCCCCCCCCCTATACGGGCGAGGGTTAAGTTGATATGAATTCGATTAGACTTAAAGGGACTATCCCACCTTCTAAAATGTTGTTAAAACCAGTTAAATTGTGCCCGACTTTATAGATTGGATGACTAGGAACACGGTCCTGGCATTTATTTTTCATTAAACATCTTAGGCTTCCCATATTTCAAACACAAACTTTCAAATATGTGACGTCACAGCCCAAAATTACCTCCTTCCCCAGGCCACATTACTGTCATAAAGCTGATTCTTTTTACTCTGTAGGCACCACAACAAAGTTCAGACCAAGTTTTAAGCGATTTTTCAACGAACAAACCTTTCAGAATGACTAAACGAGGTGACGTCACACTAACGGTCGCTCCATGTTGAAGATAGGGCCTTGTACAAGGCCCATTTTCAAATGAAGGGAACAAATTTCTTCAACACCAAGAGGCCGCGGGGGTTGCAAGTTGCAACCTAGATAGATAGTGGTTTCTAAACCTCGCCGCAAACTTGGCTATCTCAACTCAAACCCCATGTTAAAGGTGGGATAGTCCCTTTAAGTGAACTGACGAACTCTTAAGATCTCCTAATTTTTAACGTATAATCGAAAAATGATCAATTGAGCGGACATTTCCATTGATTTAACCATCTGAGCCGTCAGAAAAAAAAACAAGTGCATGTAGCATTACGACATCATGACATATCATTGATGGCATCAGATCAATAACTATTAAAAGCTATACAGGATACAGTTCAAAAACTATTAATTTTATAAGCATGGAAGCTTCTTATCCGAAGGCTTTAGGGGCATTCCACGTCAAATCAAACACCGAAATCCGTCATCCCCTTCGATTTTTCTGAAAATTTGTAGGCAGACTGGGCATGGTTCAAAACTGAGTTACGTGTAATATTTTCGAAATTTGATAACGTATCGCCGAGATATAGGTCATCGAATATAGCCAAAAATGCCACACATCATTTTTTTTAAATGCTTATAACTCTGGTTCCTTTTCTGGTATCAAAATGATATTAACAGGGTCTTGTAGGCAATTGATAAGGCTTTGATTTTTAATTATAAAATTAAATTGAAGTGACCTTGAAATGCACTTGACCTTGAATTAAAACAGAAAAATTTAAATAGCAAAAAACACGCCACCTTCGATTTGAGTAATTTTTACATATTATGTCCGTCACAATGTTCCTAACCATCTGTGAAAAAATTGGAGTGGGCCATTCATAACTTTCGCGGCAAACGCCGTTTTCATGCATCAACATCACGCAACCGCGCGTGACCTTGAAAGACAGAGTCAAGACATGCTTGCTTGTGTACACTTTCTGAAATGAATGATTGCTGATTAGTGATATCCCAAACTCTGCGAGAATGGAAATGCATAGTCATCGTAGTCAAGCATTCACGTTCCATTGTAAAAGTGTCTCAGGCAAACGGTATTTTGCGGTGAATTTTGAGCCGTGTGGAAATGCATCATGAAATAAATTCAACGAAAACATTATCACGCAACGATATCTTCACGTCTTTTGATCTTCACTATACGAAAGAACATACATTTTTGAGTATGTATGGGGAATTTCTAGTTAATCCGATAATAAATATGGCAGTTAGCTCAGTCCTGCTAAGAGTAACATGTCGCCGGCTGAGGCGGGATCGGCCGACGCGGGAAACGCAGCAGTCACAATTTTGTGTTTACACGTTCATATTTCAATTGTTTACCAACCTATTTTCAGAATTCTTTCACCATAAGATTGCCTGTACATTTCGTAGTCTTCTCACAAAATTTGACGCGAATCGAACGTAATCAGCGGTAAGGAGCGCGATGTAAAGACGGAACCGTTCCGTTCCGTCCCGGCACAGTCTACAATTCAGGCGGCGCGTAGCGGTCGGCGCCGGCTGCCGAGTCGCCGCGTCGCCGCGGCGACAGGATGTTCACTTTACACCGCTATTACTAGAACAGTTGTGAACCGATTTTCTTATTGCTTGCACGATGAGATGTGCAATTCAATTCTGGAAGGTAGCCATAAGTAATTTCGCATCAATATTATGAGATATTGGCGAAAAACAGGAGGGGTGGGGCGAAATTCACTCTTCCCCCTCCACTGCGCGTGCTAACATACGTTTGCATATGTGCCATTTTCTTCAAAACTTATGAATGGTCCACTCTAATTTTTTCACAGGTTGTTAAGAATATGGTAGGCAATAAAATATATGAAAATGAGCCAAATCGAAGGTGGCGTGTTTTTTGCTATTTCAATTTTTGTGCTTAAGAACAGAGTTAAGCAACTTTCAAGGTCATATATTTAAGTCGATGCAATTCTAAACAAATGCTTAAGAAATTACCTAAACAGTAAGGTTTATTTCATTCAAATCAAACAAGTACAACCAAAGTTATGGTCGTTCAAAAATATAAAGATGCAACATTTTGTAAAAATTTGATGCCCTATATTTAGAAGACCTGTGGTCAGAATGTGCAAAAAACATCAATGTAATGTCCGGGGCGACACAGGAACTCGCTCACAAATTTATAATGAAATCGCTGATGGTAAGGTGCAAAACAGCCGATTTTTGTTCGATTTGACGTGGAATGCCCCTTTAACTAAATCAGAACAAAACTCTGTTCCTTTGAGAGTTGAATGATTATGAGACAGATCCAATAATTTGCTTTAAAAAAGTATGTGACGAAACGCCTCCACCCGAATGTGTTGTATCGGCCTCATACTATTTGCTTGTTTTTCACTACTCAATTATACAATTGAGTTTGATTTCACCGCGCCGAATGCTATCGACTCCGTTCGATTTTCCCGATGACCACCATGCAATTAATTGATTTCTAATTGTTATGAGCCGTAGGAATAATTGATAATAACCGTAAATAGCCGACTCGTATATTCTAACCACACGTTTGCACATCCCCAGAGACCTCGCGACTATTGGCGGAGGTGAATGGCGGCCTGGCAGCGGACTCTACCGACTCTGACTCCGTGGGAGAGTCGAGCATCTCCCGTCACGGTCAGTTTGGCAGCTGGGCCACGGTGCACGGGATGGGTCCGATGAGCGAGGTGGGTGAGACTTCCAGTAGGCACACAGATGGGCTACAGAAGGGGCGGCGCACGGCGTGGACCGTGGTCACTGTGGCTGGCGAGATTAATTGTGGAAAGGAAACGGTGTACAGCAGAATCACACGTAATTAGGACGATTAATTGGGAAGTGATAGCTGAAAGTTAATGGATGGAGAATGATTCCCTTTTGCTACGGCGAAAGTAACAAACCACTTCTTTCTCGACATGTAGCCACCCAAGTCATTCGTTTACCGGTGTCTGTTCCAAGAAGAAGCATGCAAATGGTGAAATACATCGGTCGAAAATATCGGTGAAATAGCGCATAGCCACGTGGATCACTATACTTTTTATTTGCCCTTTTCATTGTCATTTTCAGGACAGTCTACTCAACTGTTTAATGTACAAATTAACACCACTTGGTTGTTTTCTATGTAGTTATGCGCTAGACACGATGTGTGGGCCAAGTGCTAACCGAGACTTTCACGCCGTTTCAACCAACGACATACTTGTGATGTAAGGAAAATACATAGGCGCGGGAGCCGGGGGGCAGTGGGGGCAGCTTGCCCCCCCCCCCCCCCAACTCTGGGGCCGTGGGGGCGGTGCCCCCACAGCTTTGAGACGGAATACCACACTTTTTTGCAAATGTTTTCTTTTTTTGTTGAAAAAGCCGAGGGGTGAAAAATAAGTGGCCTAAAATCGGTGGGAAAACTAGATTTCGGGGTACCCTAGGTTAATCTCTATTATGGTGTGCCCCCCAGTCGGAAAGTAGTTCCCGCGCCCCTGGGAAAATATTAACACCACTGATGGCAAAACCAAGCTTGCTTCCGCGCTTTGAATCAGTAATGAAAGGTGTCAACAACTGTCACATGAATCTTCCTATTCACTAGTAGGACGCCTGATGACTGCATCTTCATGTGGGTCCCTTACGTTTGCTGCTCCGTTTCAGATGTCGTGGGCCACTTCCCCGCTGGGCTGGCCCCGGTCGGATATGACACAACCCTGCCGTTTGGCGCCCGCACCAGACCCTCGTCGGAGCACCCCCTGAACGAGCACTTCAGCTACCTGGATAAGGTACGACGGAAGCAGTACGGTGACATCTACAGCAAGCATCCGAAGCTACATTATAAGCCAAAATACTACAAGTACCCGAAACATGATGGAGTGAAGTATCATAAGTCAAGCTATGATGATGGGAAATACGATAATCATAAGTACAGCAGCTACAAGTATGAGAAGCCCAAGTACAAAGAACTGAAATATAAGAGTTATGAGTATCCCAGGCACAAATATGCGACCAGTTATGAGGATCATACCGAGTATGTCCCAAAATCGGTGTACGAGGCGCCCAAATACCATCACCAGTATGAGCATCACTTGGCGCCGGAGCCTTCCCATTACTACAAGCCCCCTCCTCCGCACTACACTCCTGAGCCTCATCCAGCTCAGTACGGGCCGTACCATGGACCTGAGGGCGACTACCCGGTTCTTCCGCCGCCGCCCACCGCCCCCCACCACCTGCCGCCCCCGCCCCCGCCCCCAGCCGGCCACCACGCCTACCCGGCCGCCCCTGAGACCTTCCACTACACCGAGGAACATCACGTGACCGAGACGTACCCGGCGCCTCCCGTGTACCCGGTGTACTCTGAGCCCCCGCCTCCTCCCCCGCGGGGCCATCGCGGCGGGAAGTCGCTGGATCGCTTCAGCTTCAACCCTGAACCGTACATTGAGACCATCGCAATCGCTTACCACGAGAACGAGCGTAACTTCAACTCGCACAACCGGCAGCCCAAGCACTTGATACCCGAGTACACCACGCCGCGGTACCAGAGCCCTCACCACGAGTACCGCCCGCCGCACGTGCAGCAGTACGCACCACGAGCACCCAAGTACGTGCCACGTGCGCCCGAGTACGGCCGCCACGTGCCGTACGCGCCTCCGCACGCTTCAGAGTACGTGGCTCCGGAGGAGCACGTGGCTCCCCAGGCCAGGGGTTATGGACGTTTGGTTGGAGGTCATGCCACACCGGAGCGTACCGTCACCTTGACCCCGTACCGGGTACAGGTCGGTACTCTGTACGGCCTGGCTTCGGCCGGGTCCAGCCTCTCAGAGACTGTGGTGAGCCCTGATGGCACCTCGGGGACTCGGAAAGCGAGGACGGAGGACAAGGCGAAGGCTGAGGTGAAGTCTGGTGACAACAGTCAGGGGAGCCAGAAGGCGTGATCGGCATTGTTCGGGCTGGCTTCTGGTTAAAGGTGAGTAAAAGGTGAGAAGCCATTGCCCGCGTTGTCATAATGAACTATGTAGTTATCAGTTTTTTTTTACATAGTTTGATTAATTGCCGTTTAAATTGTTGCAGAGGTTTATAAATAGATGACAGGTCGTACTTAGATAACATAAAGAAGCTTAACTTATCCCAGCAATCAATTTTATCAGTTGCGAGTTTTTTTTTTTTTTTTTTGCATCCATCTAAAACAACAATTTTCATAACTTACTGGCGCAATATCGGGAGCCATAGCCAACTCCTTGCTGGACGGACTGTGACCGTCTCCCATGTTCCACACCTTCCATGGTCACCCACCGCTAACCGTCGTCCCATTCCGTCCCAGATGGTCAGACCAGCCGACCGCCGCACAACATCTGCCCGGCACACCCACCCGCCGCGACGGTGACGGCGACAACAGGCGACGATAGAGGAGAGAGCGGAGAAGACGGAGGGAGAGCGGAGAGGTAGCACATGGTGCCGGGTGCGGGCTAGCGGCTGGGCGCAGCGAAAGCGGGTGTGGGGTGTATTTAGCGGCGGAAGATTGGGTGCCCAGTGTCCGCCGCTTTTCTGTCCTGTCTGCTGTGGTAGGCGAGGGGAGGGAGGAAGCCGACAGGTGTGTTTCGGTGTTATTGGTGGCTTTTTGACAGGGGAGCACCGCCCGTGGTCTAGAAAGTGACGGACGGTCTCACTCGTGGGAGAAATGGACGGTGAATGACCAAGCTAATTGGTAGAATTGGTCAGGCCTCGGCTCAGTGACCGATGTGCTTGGTTACAGCGACGTTGTGTGGTAGCTATTGCGGTTCGATATGAACTTGACGTGCTTTATGTAATTGTTTTCCCCATATTGCTCAAGGACAATCGGTGGGGGTGTGTTAGATGCATGGTTGTTACGGGATTGCGTAGACTGTTTGTTTGAAAGAAGACTGAACGAGAATGCGATTTTGAAATATTTTGAGGGTAACAATACTCCATTGGAGTATTTATTTAGTATCCATTGGTGATGATTCTTGGTGCAATAAACGTTTGGTGTCGTTCGACGTTTGTAAGCTGCTTGAGAAATGTATGTGCATTGTGCAATTGCATCTACATGCATCTAAATGTATGTGTAGACCATGTACTTGCCAAAATATGTACCTATGATTATGTCCCGTTTAAATCTTTTGCTTCAAATATTTTTAGCAATTGAAATTTCTAAGTGGTAGAGTTTTCTAGAGGTAATAACCCGATGCTCGATGAAAGAAAGAGGAGGAGGACAGGTTTCTAGAGGACAGGAGGGTGCGACAGGTTTTCAAGGAAAAATTATGTCATTTTGTGACGGTTCGTTTCTCGATTTGTTTATGAAACGGACAAGCTTTTTATCACCTGAGAGAAAGTAACGAAGTGAATCCGTCTTTGCATTGCTGTGGGACTATACATACTTCAACGAACGAGCGGGCGAGCGAGCAAGCGAGAGAGAGAGAGAGGGGGAGAGCTAGAGAGAGAGAGAGAGAGAGAGAGAGAGAGAGAGGAGGAGGAGGAGGAGGAGGAGGAGGAGGAGGAGGAGGAGGAGGAGGAGGAGGAGGAAACCAATCGAATTTGGTAAAGTTGGTAACGCTTGTTAACCCTATTAGTGGCAGGCTCCTGGCTACCCCATATTAGTGGCAGGGGGGGGCTGTTTACGACCCCCCCCCCCCTTGATATCTCGAGATCTAACCGGCCGATTTTCAAAATTCAAACGGCATTCGATTTGGCTCAACGAGATCTACATTTCTAAAAAAATAATATTAAAAAATGTCAATAGGGGGGTAGAGGGGGGTAAAAACGGGCAAATTGCAGATACATTTTAGACTGTTTATCACGGCCAGGTTTCTGAACCAATCTTAACGCAACTTTTGCCGATCGATAGAGAATGAACCAGGAATTCACATGGATCCTAAAAATATGCATTTTCAAAAATCATAGGCGGATACAGATCATTGAGATTGGGGGTACACAAAAAGTATAGTAAATAAGGTTTTTGTTGGTACTGTTTCTAAAAAGGGTGGCAATGGTCTTGTTATGTTACAATTTTCTTATGAGAGAACGACTAAAATTGCATTGGTCATGCATAGGCGGTGTCAGGGCACCTATGTTGGGAGGTAAAAAATAACCCCCCTTTTTGGACGCCTGGATCCGCCTATTATAGCAAAAACGTGTCAAAAGAGGATGCACAATAACTTTGTATATGTTATCACATGATACCTTTCATTCACTCTTCGTAAAACTGGTGCAGCATCGTGATCTTCGCCCAAATGACTCGCTTCACGAATAGGACCCCCCAATTCCCAGTGCTCTGGAGCCGCCCCTGGTAAAGTTATGAACTTGAAATTTTCAGGGAATGTGCCCAATTTAGTTTTAGGAAAAGTCAGAAAATTTCAGCATCGTAGCTTCAGCGGTTTCGGAGATATTCCCGAAAAACCTGAGGGGTGGATAAAAACAACCCCCCCCCCCCCTGCCACTAATAGGGTTAAGTAATTCCTTACAAAAAGCTTCCTGGCGTCACTTTACTTTCAAATGGAAAAGTGTGAAATCGCTTGCATCAGAGGCCCCCGACCCCACGTATATATACGTCGTCCACTCCAGAAGTTTTGAGACTGGCCTCGTAAAATCCATATGAACAGTGCTAGATACTTGTTGTTCTCACAAGTCCTTACTACAGTTGTTACGAACGTACTTGCGTAATTTTGTTTTTCTACGTTGCAAAAGACGGCAACGGTGTCACCCTGAACATGGCAAGTCGCACGCGGCTTGTCACAGTGACTGGTGTAGAGCACAGTCAGGTTTTTCATGTGAAGACAACTTGGAGGGTCGCTGTGCAATAAAATTTTGGGATTAGCTTGACAAAAATGGCCGAGAAACATAGTTAATTGACTCTCAAGTGACTTGGATGAAAGCTGGATGTATTTTTACCATCATGAGACCAAGAGACAGAAGGTCCAATGAAAACACACTGACTCCTTCAGACCCAATAAAGACAGACAGCGCAGGTACACTCAGAATCTCAAATTAATCCCTTACTTATAACCTGGGTCCCCTACACGGCCAGATGGTCAACAAGGAATGATTCGTGAAGGTTCTGAGGGAGTTGAGAAAGAGATTTCGCCGCAAGAGGTCTGAACTCTTCAACTGTGGCCAGGGGCTCCTGCACCAGAACAGCGCACACACCCACAAGTCCACCATGGAGACGAAATATCTGACACAGATGTGCGTCAAAACCGTCCGTAACCCTTTCCACAGTCCTGACCTGGCCCCTGTGGCTTCTGGATGTTCCCCAGACTGACAGGGAAGCTCAGGGGCCGTCTTTCGGAGGATGTGGAGGAGATGAGTGCAGTGGCGTATCCAAGGGGGGACCCTGGGGGTCCTAGGATCCCCCCTGGAGCAAAAAAAAATTTTTTTTTTACTCGAAAAAAAATTGAAAACACTTTGAGGGCCCTTTTCACCACTTACATTTTTTTTTACATAATGAAAAGAATCAATTACATTTTTAGGGACCCTTTTAGGACTATCAGAGGACCCCTTTAGGCCAACGAGGGACCTTGTAGAGTAAATTAAGGGCCCTTTACAACGAACAGGACCTTCTCAGGCACACAGAGGGCCCTCTCAGACACACAGAGGGCCCTCTCAGGCACTCAGAGGGCCCTCTCAGGCACTCAGAGGGCCCTCTCAGGCACTCAGAGGGTCCTCTCAGGCTTTCAGAGGGCCCTCTCAGGTACTCAGAGGGCCCTCTCAGGCACTCAGAGGGCCCTCTCAGGCTCTCAGAGAGCCCTCTCAAGCACTCAGAGGGCCCTCTCAGGCCCGAGGGCCTTCTCAGACATCTCAAAGAGGTCGAAAAGAGCCCTCTGAGCTCAAAGAGGGCCCTCTGAGATAAAAAAGGGCCCTCGGAGGCAACAGAGGGCCCTACAATGCAACAATAGAGCCCCCTGTTGTCACCAAAGGGCCCTCTGAGGCGAATAGGGGGTCCTTTTAGGCATACAGAGGGCCCTTTGAGGCAAACAGAGGGCCCTCTGAAGGGGCGAATAAAGGGACCCTCTGAGACGAACGGGGGCCAGAGCCCAGAGGGCCCTCTCAGACACTCAGAGGGCCCTCTCAGGCACTCAGAGGGCCCTCTCAAGCACTCAGAGGGCCCTCTCAGGCACTCAGAGGGCTCTCTCAGGCACTCAGAGGGCCCTCTCAGGCACTCAGAGGGCCCTCTCAGGCACTCAGAGGGCCCTCTCAAGCACTCAGAGGGCCCTCTCAGGCACTCAGAGGGCCCTCTCAGGCCCCGAGGGCCCTCTCAGACATCTCGAATAGGTCGAAAAGAGCCCTCTGATGTCAAAGAGGGTCCTCTGAGATAAAAAAGGGCCCTCGGAGGCAACAGAGGGCCCTCCAATGCAACAATAGAGCCCCCTGTGGTCACCAAAGGGCCCTCTGAGGCGAATAGGGGGTCCTTTTAGGCAAACAGAGGGCCCTTTGAGGCAAACAGAGGGCCCTCTGAAGGGGCGAATAAAGGGACCCTCTGAGACGAACGGGGGCCAGAGCCCAGAGGGCCCTCTCAGGCACTCAGAGGGCCCTCTCAGGCACACAGAGGGCCCTCTCAGGCTCACAGAGGGCCCTCTCAGGCACACATAGAGCCCTCTCAGGTACACATATGGTCCTCTGAGACACACAGAGGGTCCTCTCAGGTACACAGAGGGCCCTCTCAGGCTCACAGAGGGCCCTCTCAGGCACACATAGGGCCCCCTCAGGCACACAGAGGGCCCTCTCAGGCAAACAGAGGGCCCTCTCAGGCAAACAGAGGCCCTCTCAGGTACACAGAGGGCCCTTTCAGGCACACAGAGGGCCCTCTAAAACACACGGAGGGCCCTCTCAGCTACACAGAGGGCCCTTTCAGGCACATAGAGGGCCCTCTCAAACACACAGAGGGCCCTCTCAGGCACACAGGAGGCCCTCTCAGGCACACAAAGGCCCTCTGAGACACACAAAGGGCCCTCTCAGACACACAGAGGGCCCTCTCAGGTACACATATGGTCCTCTGAGACACACAGAGGGCC